CTGCAGGACCTGCGGCAGCGTCCCCATCGACTACCCCGGCAGCAACGACCCGAAGAACGGGATCCTGGCGATTAACTATGTCTTCAACACCAGATGCTGTGAGGGTCTCTGCCAAATGTGTTTCGGTTTTCGACTCGACACTGTAACTACTAGTTGGCTTGCTTGGTACTCGCCGAGATAGCACCCCTGTGTTAGCCGGGAATGGGAACTGGAGGAGGAGCTGTTTGAATGTCGATTAGTTTGCTTGAATTCTTTTTCTTGGTGGACACCATGTATCTTTTAGACCTAGCTCAATGCCCACGTAACACTTCGAATAGCAATTGACTTTGACGTTGAGATGCCTATCATCCGCCTACCCGCTTGGCTGGGGCATGATCGAATTCTGCGAGTTGAGCGTCTTCAAGGATGCCCAAGCCTGCAAAACAGAAGCGACGCAAGACACAACAGAGAACGCCAGAGCAATGAGGGCTATCCAGAACGCGTAATTTAGATAGTTAGATGCAGACAGACACACGTTACATATAAACCCACCGCGCGTGCGTGCCGTGATAATATTGGAGCCCAGACCTGACTGCATCCTAACAGTGCCAATGCCAATGTAAATTTGACGAAGAAAATGCTAAAAAAAAAAAAAAAAAAAAAAAAAAAAAAGAGATTAACTAGAAAAAGCAAAAACAACCGTTCGTTCAGTTCTCATGGATTAACACGCGATGACCGACAGGACCACAACGACTGGAACGAATATGACCGCTACACAAACTGGCCTTCTGAGTTGGAATGCATGCTGCAACAACTTGCTTATATTCTATGGTCAGTCTTGGTTGCGTGCCATCACCATCAACGGTTCCGTCCGCCTCCCAGTGCGCACGATGTATTACAAATGTCAAAGGATACGGTACACCGTAACAATCATCCCATCTCGTCTTACCAGACACCGAGAACTTTCTAGTTCGGCGCCTCCTTCGCCACTCTCAGTCAATGGACAATTTTACCTCTTGCCCTCTGCGAGCCGGAGTCCATACCCAACCACGGTACCTCGATCAGCGGCCTCATACACTATGAAGCATTTCAGCACCGGGCTGGTGAGGCCCTCCTTTGAGAGAAACAAGCAAATACTCTAAGGCGAATTGCAAACCAGTCAAATAATTTCATTCAGTCATCCCACAAAGTGATTGCTAGATACAGGTACGTAAATAAATACACTAAAAATGACTTAGATCCAATGAACTCGTTCCTGCGCGCAACCAGTCATGTATCATGTGATTCTGACTGTGTGTGTTCTAAAAGCAGTAGCACTGGGTCGTTCCTCCGGCAGGGTAGCAGTAGACGGTGCACGCCGGGGCGATGTCTCCGTTCGCGGCTGCCTCGAGAACTTCGGCCGGGGGTGCAGGCATGGCGGATACCCGGGCGGCCGCGGCGGTGATGATGACGAGGGTGAGCTTCATTTTACTGTTTTTGCTGGTGTTAGTCTGGACATGTTATCACAGAGCAGGACTCGGGAAGGATGAAGACTTTGTCGGAACTCGGGAGGACTGACGTGGTCTTTGTTGAGATTGGCTGGTGCTGCTGTGATGTTTCTTGAATGGTTGTGTCTTCAGTATTGCTTGTTTGTTCTCATCAAGAGTCTTTAATGGAATCGTGGCATCATTTATACCTGAAATGACAACAGCTCGAGTTTCGGGCAGCAGTATTCTCCTCATCGGTTTCCAATAGTCAAGCTTGATGGTTGGTCGCGCTATACAACCTCCTATTTTTTGTTTACAGACAACTCCCTCATACTAAACCTTTAATGCTCCCGTTCAGAGTCGCATATAACTGTGTAGAGTAGATGAAGAAGGATTTACCCGTGCCGTCTGTCGTGTAAAGCTTGAGTTCCTTGGGTTTACCAATGGTCAGGTCGGACTTCGATCGTGGCGCAGGTGTGTCGGCAGGTGAATTGTGTAGTATCAAAGCTGTGCCCTTCTAACCAGCCTACAGGACAGTAAGGTACGCATCGGCGACTGATGTCCGGGAATATAATCATACGAATGTCTATTTCCTAGTGATCTACGGTTGCAATAGGACGAACAGCCTCGGAAGGGTATGTCGCTTCTTTGCCAGATGGGGTAATCAGAAACATAAGGGGGATATTGGTTGAAGGGGCCTGTCGTGATCCTGCATGCCACAGAATTCAGGTCTGTTGAAAGTCAGGTATCTAATATGAAGAAACACGAGAGCAAGAGTTCACTTCTTGTGTGTTTGGACTGCACCTCTTTGTCTGGCGCCAGTGTACCAAACTAAGGATAAGATGTCCCTATCATGGTGTCTTCCAGGTTCTTTATGAGCTATTAACGCAAAAGGTTGAAGCCTCGTTGGACGTGTGGATCTGAAAGGCTGATTCCTCTCCCGTCTCCCGGGCCCAGATGTGATCCTGCCCGCTCCACTCCAGGTTGCTGCATCACTAACAGTCCCAATGCTGCAAGGGAAACCTTGATTTTCCCCATTGTCATGGCTCCCGGGCGTGACATGCACTCCGCATTTTATCCTTGCATACTGTCACGGCTGTTATGTTGGATGGCAGGTGGGCTTCCTTGGTAATGTCGGCCAATTCTTTGATGAAAATGCAGTTTCAGAGTCTTTCTATCACGAATATGCGTCTCGGTAAACATACCAATACACATGTTTTCCAACTGAACCCCAGATGAAATAATTAATATCAGACGACTGCTCCTTGCTCCTTATCACCCGAAAAGAAACAAAAAGAAAAGCACAACTAGGAAGCGAACCGGCGACCTTACCAACGAAAAACCTTGTAAATGGGCGTGTTTTACACAGAATCCACAGATGCGGTGTCGATTAATTCCCTTAAAGACACCCGCAATGTGCGGTTGACTGTGGTTTACCACTGCGCCAAAGTGCCTTGTTTGCCCGCGGACATTAACGTTGCGAGGTGAACCGAATGATATGCCCCATTCCGTCCGCGAGGTCCGTTGTTTGATTCTCGCAGAGTGGACCTGGGTGACGTGTTGAGAGATGGGATGATATATGGAGGAGAGTGAGCTATCGGAGGTGGTTACCACGATTGGTGGACTGGCTTGCCGGTTGAGGGAGCGACCTGATACATCTGGTCTGGACCATGATATGGAGGACACTGCTCCTGGATTCTCCCAACATGAAAACTTAAGGATGGTAGTAATAATTTGATGTCTTTTGTCTTTCTGATTTTTATGTGTTTGTTCTGCCGCCGTGACGTATGCCGTCAGGGGAAGCTGACACCCGCTCGGCGAGCACTTGCACGCCACTGCCAGGGCCGAGACAGGTACAGCAAAAAGGCCGAAAAGTTGCCGAGATTGTTAGAGCTACCAGCCATTCGCCGCGGGAGCCTTAACAGTCCAGCTGCCCACATAAGTCCCCCATGAACGCCGAAAACGCACCCAATCATTTAAAGACGCGACAGCCACAGTGGAGTGAGTACTCGGCCCATCCGTAATCCGCGCGAACCCAGTTGCTCCGAATTCTGCGCGACGGATGCCTGGGCTTGGGCCGAACTTCCCACCACCATCCCAAGCGGCCGGCATCGACAAAGACGCCGCGCCTTTTGCCCGGCCGCGACCTCCACGACCGAATTCTGCGCGAAACACCGTACAATATTTGCGAAAGGAGGCCGGATTGCTTCCGACAATGGCTTCCCAGCATTTGTATATAATGGCGTCGTCTGCCGACCTTGGGATAGATTGAATCCAAGACAAACACAACAAACACAACACAACATCACTACCACAGCCACCACCACCACCACCACCACCACCACCACTCAACAAGACAACACTTGACTCTCAGAAGAAACCATCATCTTCCCCAAACCTTCAAAGCAAAACCACCGCAAACCACCACCAAAAATGTCCACCTCCACCAAGACCGTCCTCTTCCTCGGCGCAACCGGCGGCGTCTGCCTGTCCGCCCTCCGGCGCTCCCTCGCAGCAGGCCACACTTGCATCGCGCTCTGCCGCACGCCCTCCAAACTCACCAACCAACTAACCACCGCCGAGACGTCCTCACCCAACCTCCTAATCGAGCAAGGCAACGCCCAAGACGTCGACTCCCTCGTCCGATGCCTGACCAAGACCGCCTCCGTCGACACGGTCCTCTCCTCAATCGGCGGAGCCTTCTCAATCTCAAAGATGAACATCGACGACCCGAAGACCTGCGAAGTCGGCATGAACGCTCTTGTGGAGGCGATCCGCCGCACCAAGCTACACCCGCACATCATCGCCGTCAGCTCGACGGGCATCAGCGACGCCGGCCGCGACATCCCGCTCCCCATGGTGCCGCTGTACCATGTTTTGCTGAAAGCGCCGCACAAGGACAAGAAGAACATGGAGACCGCGCTGATCAAGTCGGGCGAGCCGAGGTGGACGATTGTGCGTCCCAGTTTCTATACGGACGGGCCTGAGACGGACGGTCAAGTCCGCGCGGGGGTTGAGGATCTTGCTGGACAGCCTAAGTTCGAGAGCAAGGCTATTGGGTATTCCATTAGTCGGCTGGATGTGGGCAAGTGGATTTTTGAGAATCTGCTGAGGGCTGGGGAGGCGGATGTGAGGAAGTATACCCAGAAGGCGGTTATGATTACATACTGAGCGCAGCTGGCGGATCTGTTGTCTTTGTCTTTCCGTATGGGTGTCCGGATATATCATAAGCTTGGGTTAGACGGTCGAGATAGACGGACGGGAGTTTTCTTTTCATTTACTTGACAGCTAGCTAATATCATGATCTTTCTATATGCACAAGAGAGCAAAGCCATACTTTTCGTTGCCGGTGCTTATGTCGACTCCCGGATATGCCGATCGTTATTATGCAACACCACCAATAACTGAACCACTCACCTCCCTTGCAACAAAAACCGCCTGCCAGTGGTCTTGTGAGAAGACTACCAATTCTTGAGGCTGCAAGAAGAAAAAAAGCAAGAAGAGTCCTCCTGTCCCAGACGGGAAAAGCAAAAAAAGAAAATAAGTATAATCCAGTGACTGGGGCGCGATTCGAACGCGCGCCTCTTTCGAGACTAGAAATCACCTCGTAATTATTGTTACGAAGAAGAAAGCTTTGAAAGCAATTCTTGAGTCTAGCGCCTTAGACCGCTCGGCCACCCAGCCTGAAATTTGTTCGTTGGTGGAGATTTGGGCAAGTATATCCACTCTATCAGTCCCAGATGTGAGTGTCGTCAGAGACTTGACTCCACAGCTTCACGATGTATGTTGCCCAGCCGACGAAGACCCCTTTCCCCTCTCATAGCCTCAGACAAATGGCTTCAGCTGATCCAAAGCGCGCGTCTCAACCGTCCATCCATCTGCCTTGTAGCCCGGGCTGGCACCAACAAAATAGCTCTTGGCCGTCTCGTTGCCCCTGAAGATATACTCCAGCCACGCAATACCAGCTCGACCAAACTTACCTCCGTTAGCCGCGTTGAGATCACCGCCATGTCCAAGAGGGAGGTTTCCCTTCCACGCAGGCGTGCTAGTCGGAAGCGCCTTGAAGTCGCGCTCAGCCTGTATCACCCCCCCACCCCCCCCAACTCATCAGCAACATTCCCCAAACCGTGCCCATAACCAGAAACGAACAATACTCACATTCTGATAGGCAACATCCCCGCTGCCACCAATAACATAAAGCAGCGGCTTCGTGAACGTTGAAGCAGCGGTATAGTTGGTCAGCAAGCCCGACGAAAAGATGCCGATGGTCTTGACGCGCGAATCCCAGCTCATAGCCATGGCCTCGACGCCGCCGCACGAGAACCCGGCCGCCATGATCTTGGTCGCGTCGACGTTGGCGTATTTACCACTGGTTCCCGCCACCTTGACGGCGAAGTCGATCGAGGCTGTCATCGTCTCAGCTGTCGTGCTGCCCCTGCTTCCTGGGGCGCCGGACGCGATGACGAGGTAGCCGTAGGACGCAACCGCACCCAGGAACTTTGCGTTTGAAGCGCCGTCGCTTGAGCAGCCGCCGTTGCCCCAGACTAGGACGGGGAACTTCGCCGTGCTGGCGGTTTTGGCGGTGGGGATGTAAATTGCGTGGTTGGCGAGGGCCGAGTCGGTTGATACTGCCTGTATTTGGCGTTGATTAGTGTTGGTATGGAGATATGGGGGATGAGGGGGTGACGTACTACTGCACCGTAGGGACCATTTCCACTGGCCTGAGCCCCTTGGCGCTCTTGAATGAAGGCAGGAGAGGCGTTGGCGATGGTTACCAACGCAGCGGTGATGATTGAGTTTGCCTTCATGGTGAATAATTGGCGAGAAAGTGTTTTCTCCAAAGACAGAAAGTCGAAACGCTAACGATAAGCAGGCGACAATGATCGGCCTTGATTGCCTGTGATGTGATTACCTGAGGTGGGTATTTATACTTGATATTACCTCATTAACCTGTAGAAATACAAACGGATATGTTCATCACAAGGACCGCAGTCTCTATTCCTAGGTCTCGCTAGCGCACATGCAAGTATAGAAGTCGGGTGACGCGGCGACTGTTGATGTTGCGCACCACCGCAACTCCTTAAACTCATTAACGTAGAACCGACGCGAGGCTGGAACATTTTATGCTTGGTGGGGATAATTTTGTTAATTTGATGTAATAAGGCCCCAACGCCGTTTGTTCGGCTCCGTTCTCTTTTGGTCGTCACTCGCCAGGTTGGCTTTCCGTTTCAACAAGGCCCGGCGACCCGGTGTGCCTCGCTTACCAACTGTATAGAGCTAGTCAAAGACGTAAGTGGCACGCATAAAAAAGAGGTTTACGCTGCGCCTAACACTGGATATTAGGGCGGACGTAATCTACTCCCCAATATTTTGAAACAGGCGACTTGGCATTATTAGGGAGGGTGTCCACAAGTCTCCCAGTTGGTGCGGTAAGAGAGAGAGTCTGAGCGACAACCACTTCCAAGACTTGACGTCGACATCTTGGTCGACCCGTGCCAAAAAATAAATAAAAAAAAAATGGGACGTAGCGCGCTCGCAAGAACCTGGTAGCGAGAGCCTGCCGGCACTCAGACCGGCAGTTTTTGTTTGCGGGACTCTTGGTCCCAGATTCCCAGATCGCGAGGAACGGCTAAATTCGGGTTCGAGAGACCCGGATATCAGGTACGGGAGGAGATTCATGCTGCTCGATTTAGATCGACATTTGTGTTTTAATACGATCGAAATGATGCTGTCATTAAGGTACCTTATTAGTCTGCTTACGACGCTTTTTAAGTTTGTTGTGGCCAATCGCTTACATTCGGGGGGCGGATGGTGAGAGGTTGAATGCATCTTTTCCCTGGCCATTATGCACAGTATACCGGAATTGTCGAATAGCTGGGAGAGTTCTGGTGTAACCTATGACCGGCCAAGGGACAAGAAGAAGACATTGGAACAAAGATAGAGGAAATCAAGCACTGTGAGCGTCGGTCGTGCTGTCGAGTGACCCGGACAGCTCCATCCAGCCCCGTCTTCCTTCCTAACTCTGCCCTCGACTTCTCCTATATCCAGCATCTACGAGCAGGCAAACCGAAGAGCAGGAGGCAAGCCGGCTCGACAAATAACACAATGCAGCTCTTTCTACCAATAATCTTCTACCTCACGTGCAAGGCCTCTGCTCAGCGGCCTGTCGTGAAGCTGAAAGATGCTACATACTTAGGCACAACGACCAAGATCACCACAGCAACAGCCACAGCTACCGTGGACAAGTTTCTCGGCATCCGTTTTGCTTCGACGCCGTCAAGGTTCCGTGCAGCTCAGCCATGTGCGCCTGGCAACAAGACAGTCGATGCAGTGACCCAACCACCCGCATGCGCACAACAAGGTAACAACACCCTACACCCCTTCTTGTTGCTGTGCCTCAACAGAGACCCGAAGTGAACCAATACTGATTGGCATAACGATCAGGCACTTTTGCCAGCAGCGAGGACTGTCTCTTCCTCAACGTCTTCGCTCCTCCTCACTCCCAGAATCCCACCACCCAAACACCGAAAGCCGTAATGCTATGGTTCCACGGCGGCGCTCTCCAGTCAGGATCAATCGCCTCCTTCGACGGCTCATCTCTTGCAGCAAACGAGGACGTGATCGTCGTGGCGGCGCAGTACCGCCTCGGCGTATTCGGCTTCCCAGGCAATATTACACGCTTAGGAATACCTCCAGACGAACTGAACCCCGGGTTCCGCGACCAAAAGCTCGCGCTGCAGTGGATCCAGGAGAACATTGCCAGTTTCGGGGGCGACAAGACCCGCGTCACCATCTTTGGCGAGTCGGCGGGCGCCGTGTCCGTGGACGCACAGCTTCTGAGTGACTGGGGGAGTGAAGGACCGCCGTTCCACGCCGCGATTCTGCAGAGCGGCGGCCTGCACACTTTCAACCGGGTCGCGCTCGGCGTTGGTGTCAACGTGACCGGGCTCGGCACCGGGAATCAACCGCATGAGGCACCGTTCTTCAGCTTGGCCAGGTCGTTGAACTGCTCCGCTGATAATGGCATGTTGGCCTGTGTTCGGACCCGGACAACGGCCGAGATTATGTCTGCTGTCCAAAAGGTCAACTTGCTCTTCCCGCCCGTCGACGATAATGGTCTTTCCAGCGTGGGCGACTCGGACGCGGCACGGCGGGCGGGACGCACGCTGAGAGTGCCGGTCCTCATTGGGAGCACCTTTTTCGAGGGTGATATCCTACCACAAAAGGCTATCGAATCCCGCTCCCTCGAAGAATGGGCCGAGATGATCTACCCAGGTAACTCGACCCTTCAGGACAGGGTCATTGAAGCCTATGCTGGTGCCTCCGACGCGTTGAAGCTGCTACATTCCGACTTTCAGTTTGCTTGCACTAGTACTTATGATGGCAACATGATATCAAGTCTCGGTATCCGTACGTTTCCCCCCCCCCCCCCCCTTTCGAGTTCAAAAGTGTCCTTTTTCTGACCCCAGTTGAATTAGCTACATGGCGTTACGTCTTCAACGCCTCGTTGCCCGGTGGACGCCCGGCAGGACACGGCAGCGATGTGAACTTTGTCTTTGGGTCAGGACTGTCAACGATGACGACAGCAAACCAGCGGCTCAGTCGCAAAATGCAGACGGCATGGGCATCGTTTGCGAAAAACCCTGCGGCCGGGCCTGGCTGGCCCAAATATGGTAGCGAGTCTCTGTCGCTCGCGAACCTCGGGGGTGAGGGGGCCCGCGATTCCATCACGATGGCTGATCCGGGTGTGGTGGACTCGAGATGTTGGGTCTTTTCGGACGCGTATGATCCAGACCGACCAAGAAGTTTGTTAGTATGGGTTAGACGGAAATGCTAAGTTTGTGAGCATAAGAACACCTCTGATCTCGGCTGGAGTTAGACGGAAATGTTGGTATTCACCCGATCATCCTTTGTGCCAAATCATGTGCATATGGTTGCTACAAAGCCTTGCCTGTATAATGCATTTAAAGATGGATGTAAAAGTTGTTTTGGGGGGCTAAGAGATTGTCGTCCAAGGAACGCACAACGGAAGTTTTGGTCCAATCCATCCACGCATCCTGCCGCTGCGGTTTATATACAGCCACAATATACCCCGCGGGAGAAAACGTTCACAGCACCATCCAGTAACATCTGCAGTACCTACATTGACGATTACCTGCCCACTTTCCCAATAAGGAGTTATTTCCCGCCGATCACGATGCATCTTCTTGTACCACACGAACCAATGTATCTGCCTTGCACGTCATCAATCACCAGAAACATCAACTTCCTCCCACTCACCACCTACCACACTCTTAACATCACCAACCACCATCTCTCGGCAGCGTTGACCTTCCACAGCTGCCGCCATTCCCAGCTACTTCAAAATGAACTTCCTCAAATGCATAGGCACCCCCTTCGCGATCCTGATCCTCCTCCTCATCGCCATAATAACCGCAGTCTCCCTCCTCCTCTACACGCTCGTCACCCTCCCCTGGACACTCTACTACTTCTCAGCAAACTGGTCCATGCAAGAGTGGCGCTTTGGTCCAGTATAACATCTACCTCGACCACTTTGAGCGCCTCCACCCAGAATTGATAGGGTACGTCGCCGCTGCGCTCGCAACCACCACCCAACGCAACAAGATACCTCATCGCGTTATACACTGGCCGCACAAGACGAAACGAAACCTAAAGTTTTCACC